TGTTACTGATTTACCTCTGGGAAAAAAATTAATAAAATAGCAAAAATATATATTTACAATGTAAATGTAAGCAAAATCTTAATAGGTCAACATAAAACTTATAATTAAATTATTATTACGGTACAAATTTGGGGAGAGGACAAATATTCCAAAACTTTCTGAAAATACAATATAAGAATTAACTGCATAAATTGGATATTATACAATTTGCATACATACAAATTTTTTGAAAAAAAAAAAAAAAAGACGTTTAACTCTGACTTTGGACCAATTCTGTAGAATAGCCCATATAATGTCTGGCAACTAAAAATAATAGTTCATCCTAAACTAGTATGGGATGAAAAAGACTTGTTTAGTTGTGACAGCAGTTCAGTCCCACATTATGTGATGACAAAGTCCTCTCGGACAAAGGTTAGTTTGTGATTGACGTATTTTGTTGCAACAATGAATTGGATTTAAAATATTGTCCTTTTTTAGGACAAGAACGCTGACATTGTTCCAGTTTGTTAAATGTCTATTGGTCAACTGGGATGGTGTCTTATTGAGACAGCTATTTATACCATTTTAATGGGGAATTTGCCCTTTAAAGTGCAGTCTGCAAGATTAAAACCATGTGTTATATTTAAGCTTGTTAGCTAGCTCTGTTGGTATGCTGACTCATTCACTACAACAATAATAAACCATTAACTTATGAATCCAATGGCAGGGAACAAAGACAGCGAAAGGAAAGGAAAGAAGAGGCCAGATTAGCAGTAAGGGAAGATGTAAATCAGAGTCATAATAAAACTATAAATAAAAAATACAGTTTGTGTTAAAAATGCTGTTGTGTTAAAAATAGTGGAGATATTTAGTTATTTAAAATGATTGTTTTTTTTGTTTTTTTTTTGTGAGTCTAAGCCATTTGGCATTACATTTTATAATGCTAATAACCAGTTTTCAAAAAGTGTCTACCTTTACCTTTATTCACCTTATATATTATTTATGTGATATCTATCTAAAAAACTATGTATAATCATATACCTAAAGTATAAAATGTGTAATTTGTGTGGTTTATAAAATGCATATAGTATACTTAATATGTAATAAGATATTTGAGTCCTGACGTATCCTATGTGAGACATATTTTATGTATAATCACACTTAAGCTATGAGATTCTCATAGTATTCTAAATATAGGCAATAAAATCTATGCATAATCCTAGTGAAACTTTAACTTTAACCTATAAAGAGTTAAACTTTTATGGTCAATTTAAGTCTGAATAATGCATTTTTTTTTTTTTTGGAGTGGGTTTCAATCCTTATAAAACTTAATTAATATAGCAAAGGTCAAATATGCAAGAAAACAAGAGCCAATATAGAAAGAATTTAAACAAAACGTAAAAATGTTTTCATAGATGAAAAATGAAAGAATACATAAATAATGCATTCAAGCTTAGTAATGTTTACCTTAGTGGTTTTGTGTTCTCTAACAGTCTGTCCCAAACATTATAAAACAAGACATCCTGTTAGAATTATGTGACAATGCTGAAAACAGATCCTGGATGACCTGCCTGAGATTTCTGTGTCCAGATGGCATCCACGGCCTTAAACTATAACTCTTAGCCAGCCCCTTCCTTCCAAGTTCAGATGTCCACGCTAACCTCTTCCTTTCCACAGAACAGACTGTTTACTTTACATGTGCTCACAAGCCACAGTCATTATCACACCTTAAAACATGAGGAATATTAATCACACAGATCATTTAGATACAATACATGATTTCAAACGAGTCACATGCAGCAAAACTGCACTGGTTACTTGCCAGATATTCACATCTCTTTGTCACCATTTGAATGTGGAAGTTACTGTTAGTGGCGGTTATATGTTGGGTTACTAATGAACAGCAGTCGCTTTCTAAAATAAGCAGATCTTTTAGGGCTGATTGTAGGGAAAATCTACAAAAGTTTGTTGTAATATGGGAAAAAAAATATGACAACAATGTATTAAATCACACTGTAAAAAAAAATTTTGCCGGAATTTTACCGTAAAAAATACGGTAGCAACGTTTTAGGTTTTACGATTTTAACTTAAATTTACAGTTAAATACCGTAATTTCATTAACTGATATAATGTTAATATACCAACCTGTTGAAGTACTGAAATCTGTTTTGTACCTTTGTAATACACTGATAACCACCAAATGCAGGTGGTGATGATAAAGTCACATGATGAACCAAAGCCCATTACAAGCAGCTTTTAAATAATAACATGTATAGAAGGTGCATAGTGTCATTCACACAAACGCTAAACACCATCATGGTAACACACATGAAACTGAAATAATGCAATTAACATTCATTTAACAACATTAGGTGTAACACACAACCCTAATATACAAAACTGATAAGAAAAAACTAAGAAGAAACGTAGTTATTTCAACAAAAAAACATCAAATTTGAAATGTAACGCAGGGAATTCTGGGAATGTCAATTTACGGTTATTCACTGTAAATTATACAGTCTTTTTCACTTCCATAAATGGTATACTACCGTAAAATTAATGTCCAATACATGTAATGTCCAATACAGTTTTTCACCGTATATAGTAGGGGAATTTACCGTTAACCATTTAACAGGCTTTTACTGTAGCATTTTTACAGTCTTTTACCGTTAAATTCACGGTCATTTTTGACAGTGTAGGTATTAGACACTTATCAGTAGCTGAAAGCATAACCAATAAGGTAAAATATTTTACAAATGTTTTTCGAAATGGTGGGGAAATATGTTGATTTTTATGAATAGCATAGTGTTCAGATTTCATAAAGGCCTATTGTTTAAGTTTAGCTTTTCATCTGTAGTTCCTATGCCAAGGCATAGGAAGTGACTCACAGGCATCCCTTAAGGTTTGAATTAAATAGCATACACATCCTGTTCATGTAAGGCCATTACTGAACTGCAGCAGGGGGCAGTGGTTGCCCAAAAACATAGATCTAGGACTGGGTTTTGACAGAAGATTAGAGCTGATTACAAACCATAGACATATGCAGGTCATTTGTATACACTGAAAGAACTGTGAAGGGTCTAACTGCTGTAGTATCTACTAAAGTAAGAGACTAGAGGTCTGTAAATGTATTAACTGGTCATTACACTGTCAGAACAACATATGTGCAAAAATGGTACCTTTAAGGGTACAAGAGCTTGTCACTGGAGCAGTACCCTTCTTTACACCTAAAGGGTTCATATTATTATAGCAGGTAATATAATAACTTAACTTAATAAATCACTTTTAATCAGACAATAGCAGAGCCTTTTTTTTTTTTGATATGGATAAAGTCGAACATTATCTAAAAAAGGCACATAAACTAAAAAGACAGATGAAAAGAGGAGAAAACATAATGTTGCACCAGCACTAACATATATTAAAATCTTTTTAAACTACTCTTGACCAGAGAGAGAGAGAGAGAGAGAGAGAGAGAGAGAGAGAGAGGGGAACGTGCGCACAGTCGCTTCTTTGTAATATCGGCTCCGGTCAGTGCATGAGTCCATTTATCAGCTCTCGGGACTGTGTGAAGTCTCCACCGAACGACTGTTAGTATATGAGGACAATTTACACGGCTTTACAACTTCCAACAAACGGGGGAAACATTTGCGTAAACTTTTGGGGTGTTGCGACCTACTCTAGCGAACAACAACATCCTCGACAACAAACAAGGTGTGGTGACGTTTTTATTACAGTATATTTTTGTTTATTTCACTAGTTTATTATAAAAGTGTATTCTGATTATGAACTGTAAGTTAACAGTTACCACAGACGCACTAAATTCATTACACTCATTACACGATGAAAGTACCTTTTTCTATCGCCCTTTAATTTGGCAAAAACCCGTCTTCTTTTAACGAAGCATTTCTGAGTTTTATGTTGCTTTGGAGTCAAAAGTTATTGAAGGTCTAGATTAATTAGATGTTGGTATATGGATTTTTCGTCATAATGGTTTTGTAAAGAACTACAAGTGAATAAAAAGTTGAGAGACTTGAAAAGGTGCTTCAGTGGCATCAGACTATAAAAGCTTGTTTTGGTTGTAACTGAAACCAGTTATATGTTGCAGGGCAAGCTATGAAAACATCTCTGCCCTTATTGTTCAAGTTTTGATTCATTCTGCAGTGGTGTGGCATAATTGCAATATTATATCAGCTGTTGCTCATTGCACCATTTTCATGCGATGACAGCTCAGTTGTGACATGAGCTGCTTTATGTTGACCCCATCATACTGTAACTGCAGGCACATTTATTAACAGATCACACAGGTCACAACAGAGAGAATGATCATATATCTCTCATTAGGATCATAATGTCCCCTGGAAGCACATTTGGAAAGATCCTGCAGTGAAACATTCCTCTTGAGTGAGAGGTTTGTGAGTTAGTGACAGAGTTGTATCATAAAAACCTTCTGTGTGCAATGCATGCTGGCAAAACAAAACACAGCAATGATTTTATGAAGGGACAAAAATGTGTGTGTGTGTGTGTGTGTGTGTGTGTGTGTGTGTGTGTGTGTGTGTGTGTGTGGAAGTTCCAGACTCAGTCCACGTCTTTTCTTTTCACTCATACCTCTCTTACCCTCTCTCTCCCTCTCTGTCTATCATTCTACTCTGGGAACAATAACAGGGAAACACCCATCAGGGATATCACAAATCTTTTTGTGAAATCGACACAGGAATTCTTGCAGAGGAGCTGAAGTCGGTGAGCAGGACGCTGTCAGGTAATTCTATAAAACTCTGAAATGTCTTTCAAAGTGCGTGTGGATTGAGGCGCCAAGTTAGTTGCAAAATCTGGGATCAATTTCAGTCTAGGCCTACTCAGAGAAAATGCCATCATAATAATATCTTCAATATTTTCATGTTGTAGACATAAAGTAGAGAGACTCCGTTACAATTACCAGGTGCCTTATTGGATACCTGTTATGTTTCGACTATGTGCCGACTTTGTCTATTATATTTTCCTTTAAAATCTCTTAGAAGGGATAAAAATAGATACAAATGAGACAGTAAAAGTAATGATTTAAAAAAGGAATTTAACTAAAAATTATCTTACTTTTGATTGTCAAATACAGTTTGAAACATTGTTGAAATGTGTGTATTTTTATAACGTTGAAATAGCATTTAATGTTTAGTACTAGAGTCAATTGCAAGTTAACCATTTGTATTTTGATTCTGAAAAGACCCTGAAAAGAGTAAACACCCTGGCTGTGGTGCTATCAAAATATTGTTCCAAAAACATACATATATTCAGAATTCACTGCTGTTTCCAGGTGAAATGAACTCTAGAGGCAGTAAAACACCAACAACTTATATTCTTTTTCACAAAAATGATTACATGGTTTGTGAGATCCCTTGCTCACTACTATGTTATGACCTCAAAACACTTTCACCATGATTTCTAAACTAATACATTTAGATGCATTTCTGACATAGTAAACTTGCTCAGTAGCTCACCTGGTACAATGTGACTCTTGCACTCGGTACGAGTACCATGAAACACAAGTCATGAAAAAACTTATAAAAACAAGCTAAAATGGCATGATTGATCTCATGTTTGCTTTTGTTAACACTATCATTACCCTTCTCTCGCCACTCACTTTTACTTTTCCAAAATTTTACTATACCCTTACCAAAAAGTAGTATACTTCAAGTTGATTTTAGTAAGTATACTTAAGTAAAGTTCAAGTATATTTTTAAGTATACTTTATGTAGTAAGTATACAAATATCAGTGTACTATGTACAGCAACCAACGTAATAATACGTTGCAGGATTCACATTCATTTGTTTTGCAAATGAAAATGCTTTTAATTTCACTCATTAGATATTTCACTTTGAAAGTGTCGCAAAACGTGCAAGAAGCAACGTAATATCATTTTGCATAAATATCGCCACAGGCATGTTTCTCGAATGAGCCTAGGTTGTCTGTTTGCTTGAACGTTCCAAGCAGCCCAACACAGCCACATTGACTCAACCAATAGTGTGAGATTGGGGCGGGGCTAACTGTTTAACCGACCAATGGCAAGCGGGGGAGTGATCAAGGAAAAATATTTAATACAAACATCACCTTTAAGCAAAAATCTCCATTTAATCTCATTAAAACAGATATTAAAGAGCTCTTATTTGTGGTTTTTCTTTCCTATTTTGTCTATAGAATGATGACCCAAGAAGACGGGGACTATGTAAACGACACTTATGAATACATGGATTATGAATATGTAGAGGAGACCAAGGCTGGAGGCTACACTCAGAGAGAAGCTCTTCACATCATATCAGTGATTATCTACAGCCTGGCGTTTACTCTGGGTGTAATTGGGAATGGCATGGTCATCTGGGTGACCGCCTTCAAAAGCAAACGGACTGTGAACAGCATTTGGCTGCAGAATCTGGCCATCGCCGACTTTGTGTTTGTGCTTTTCCTGCCATTCTCCATTGACTACGTGCTGCGAGACTTTCACTGGCTCTTCGGGAAGACCATGTGCAAGCTGAACTCATTCGTGTGCACCATGAACATGTATGCCAGCGTGCTGTTTCTGACCGTCCTGAGTTTGGATCGCTACATCTCACTGGTCCACCTGAACTGGTCGGAAAGGTACCGAAACATCCGGAGGGCCTGGTGGGTGTGTGCGCTGATTTGGATCACGTCCTGCTGTCTAAGCTGTCCGGCCTTGATATTCCGTGACGTAATCCAGCATAACGGGAAGGTTGTGTGTTTTAATAACTTTCACGATGAGAGCAAGCACATGGTAGCGGTGAGGCACATTGCGATGGTGTCGCTGCGCACCGTCGTGGGCTTTCTGCTTCCGTTTGCAACCATCACCATCAGCGGCGTGCTGCTGGCTATTAAGATGCGCCAGTCCAACTTGGTACGTTTGACCAGCTTTTCCAGAACCGTCTCTGCTGTGATTCTTGCTTTCTTCCTATGTTGGGTGCCGTTTCACACGTTCAGCCTAATGGAGCTGAGCATGCATCACACCACCTACCTGCACTCTGTGCTCATCGTGGGCTTCCCACTCGCCACCAGCCTGGCCTTCTTCAACAGCTGCGTCAACCCGATTCTGTACGTACTGCTAACCAAGAAGGTGCGTAAACTGGTGAGGAGGTCATGTTTGAACTTCACCAAGAGCTCGCTGAGGGAGCTGAGTCAGTCTGTGTCTGCGACGGAGTTAGACTCAGCACTGCCCAGCAGCTCTCCTGAAGAAACCACGGCCAACTCCTCCGTCTGATGAGCTCAGCGATCACCTCAAACGCACCTGAACTCAACAAACTTTGAGCTTTTTTTTTTTTTTTTAATAAAACTGCTAGAGCTCCAACTGGATTAAAAATATATTTTCACAAACTGGTTGGGAAAATACTGGCTTTCATCCCTTATATAGCACATTACAGTAAATATGTATTTAATGCATCATCTATTTTGTATGTTGTGCAATTAAAAATATATATATATATCTAAAAATCATATATAATTTCACCTGTAACCATATGAAAGGAAATAATATACTTTTCTCTACAAAGTATTTCTGAAGATCTCTGAGAGTAGTATTGAGGAATGATATTTCAGCTCTGTTTGAAAGGACTTTGTTTAAAAAAATTATTTCACTTATTATTGTGTGTTTGGATGCACTCCACAGAATCAATAAACTTGCTAATGCTAATGTCTTAGAATTACACTGCTTTATCTGTAAATTATGAAATAAAAGCAAAAAATAAAATAAAATCTGGGTTACAGTGAGGAACGTATAATGTAAGTGAATGGGATTGATCCTTAAACTTTAAAATACTCACCCCCGGTTTCACAGACAAGGCTTAAGCCTAGTCCTAGACTAAAATGTAAATCTGAGCTGTTTCAACTGAAAGAAACTTGCACTGACTGATCTTAAAACATGTCAGTGCCTTTGTTTTGTCTTAAGATGCACACCAGAAATGTTTTTTTTCTAAGGCATGTTTATAAAAATGACTTAAATGTCCTAATTGAAATATGGCCTAATCCTGGCTTAAACTAAGCCCTGTCTATGAAACCGGGCCTCAAAGTTTGAGGATGCTTTAAAAATGTCATAAATTAATTTTTATCAATTAACTTTAACTAAATTAAATCAATATTTGGTGTGCCCATCCTTTGCTTAAAGTTTGCGGCATAGAATCTTTGAAATACGTCCGAGAGTTTTACACACCGGTCTGATATTGTGGCGACATTTCCACGCCCCGAAACGTGACGACGAACGAAACGAACTGTGATTGGTTGTTTGACATGTCGGTCAAACGGCCTCCAATGAAAGCTGCCATGGATTCCAGACCTTCAGCCGTCAGTCTGAAGGTCTGGCTACGCGAGACTATGAAACCGGGCCTCAGTGTTTTAATAGTATAGCCTCAATACATAAAAAATATGCATATTAACATGTTTTAGTGTGAAATGTCACTTATTAACCATTTCTATGTAAAGTTAAATCCAGTTTTACAACTTTGTTGGCATGGCAATGAAACTCTATGGCCTGTTTTCACAGACAGGGTTTAGGTTAAGCCAGGTTTAGGCCATAGTTCAATTAGAAAATTTAAGTATCTTTTGTAAACGTGCCTTAGAAAATAACATTACTCGTGTGCATCTTTAGACAAAGCAATGGCACTGACATATTTTAAGATCTGTCAGTGTAAGTTTCTTTCAGGTAAAATAGCCCACACATGCATTTTAGTCTGGGACTAGGCTTAAGCCTTGACTGTGAAACCGGGGGTATAACAATTATAAAAATGAAATTTAACATAAAGGTCAATGTAAGTGCTTTTAATATTTTTAAGCCTCATTCACTTCCATTGTGCCTCATCATAGCCTCGATTTTTATGGAAATGAGGGGTGAGTCAAAATATTTTTTGTCAACATTATCACACAAATGTTGACTGAGCTTAACTTGTATTAAAATCTGTATATTTCTTATAAGTAAAAACAGAAGTTTTTAGACTAAAAATAACTTTCAGTGTACTATAGGTCAGTTCGCATTGTTACCACATACAGTATTTTGTATGACGATTCATCAAAATGAAAGAATGCAGAAAACATCTGTGAGTCAAATTTACTTCTCTTTATTTACTAGAAATATACTGTATAAAAGTCAAAAAGTAGCTGACAAAAGCACAAAAAAAGCACAGGGCTGGTAAAAATGTAGCCTAATGTTTTAAGACAATTGACAGCACACTTACTACATAGATTAAGTGTTTTGCTCAAGAACACAGTAATCAATGGCTACAGGAACACAAAAACATTTCCATTGAAATAAGAGCTACACTGCTGACAGATGTACAGTTCTTTATTGATTACACTAAAAACTACAAACTAAAGCATATCTGAAAAAGAAATACACACGTTTAAATAATGACCAGTTTTCCACACTCAGTTCTTGCATGTTTGAACCTTAATACTTTAAAATAATCACTATTTAGGTCAAAGCTAGAACAATAAATAGGCCAAACATGTGAAGTTACACCACAGTTGCCTAAAATGTCAGATGCTATTTTTATTGAATTAGTGAAGCAATATTTTTCCTACAAATTTATGTGCCAAAGCAGAAGTCTTGAACAACAGTAGGAAAGTTGAATCTTGCCTTATAGTTGGAGTGTTCAGTCTTATAACAGATATTCGGCGCTTTATAAAATAAGGCTTAAAAATGTTTTTCATTTTCAAGAACTGGTCAGTGAAAGGGTGCTCAACCTTTAGAATATGTATACACAGAATACCATCAACTTCAGTAGGTCAAACTAAATATTGTATCGTTTGTTTTATTGTCTGTAAATTTGTATGGGGTTTGCAAATTTTACAAACCTTTAACAATCTTCACAAGTAACAGGGTTGCAAATTTAGCCTAAATGAAGTTGTGATTAAGCTAGTTTGGTGGTTTGTGTTTGTTCATGAACTTACAGTATATTTACTATAAATTAAAGCAGTGAGTAAAAATTATTGGTTTGATCATTTTTACTCTAATTTGGATAACAGGGTTGAATGATTGAGCTTGAAGTATGACGGAAATGCAGAAATGGACAAGTGGTCCAAATAATGCTATTTCTGGGTAAGAAATGTTAAAGTTTTGTATTGGAGAAAATTATGCAGTAACAGGGTTTCACACAAAATGGACTTTTTGTCAAAATTATGATTTAGTCAAAAAGGTCAAAACATCTGTGTAACTCAAAGAGTACCATATTTGTGGAATGTGCAGTTTATGTAATCTTTCTTTGTTTCCTTCTAAGAATTCTTGTTTCTGAAAGTCTGCTGATGCCATCTTATTAAAGGGTTTCTTTTATTTGAATTCTGTGTTCTTGGTTTTATGTTGTCTCCTTGAATCTTTGCCCAACTGTCCACAAATGTCATTACGTCCATTACTTTCACAGATCTGTAAGCTGTTTCAGCACTTACAAACATTACAGCAAATAATTTGTGGTTGATTTATGGATGCTGTTATGAAAATAAAATAATGAGAACGGCAAAAAGATCTGGAATTGGATAATACATCTTATTTATTTGTAATTTCACCCTCCTTTTTATGCAAATTGCTTAACTTTCCCCAGATGGACCACATTTTTGTGAAGTCGTATTTCATGGCTGAGCATTATAGATGCTTAGAATTTCAGTGTTTATAAAAGCGGAGAACTTCTTAGCTCACTGTCCATTACAGCTATAAAGCACATACTTAGCACATACATTTAAACCAACTAATTCCAATACACAAATGATTGAAGTAAGAGTGAGTAAAACAAATGACAGTGTGGTGTTATATTGATTATATATATTAAATATATATAGTAAAAGAAGTTTATTCTTCAAGATTCATTTCAGTACTACAAGTCGTGAGACACACATGGACCACAAATGGCACAGTTTCCTGAGATTGATCCATTTGGTGATGAGCCTGAGCTTTTTACTGGAAAACTGCCTAAATATCTGCACCTAGATTTATATTTAGTTTTGTAAAATGAAAGAGCTAAAGATATCAATAATAAATATATATATAGTAATTTTCACTTTGTTTTAACTAAAAGTCTTTTTATATTGTGATTTCAGCATCATGTTTCATTTGTTTGTGCGCTGTGGGTGGTGACCCCCGTGACCCCCAGCAATGCTAATGATTTCAACATGAGGGCATTTCAATGGTATCTCTGCTATGGGATTACCTGCACGCATGCTGTGTTTATCACTGAGGATTGTGATAAAGCTTGACTGCTTTACAAAGAAAACATAGCGTCAGTAAACTATTATGGTGATGCCCTTGGTATTTTGTATGGTTGCAGCACCATCTGATGCTATTACTAAAACATGGAAGCAGCTAGCATAACATTTTCTGTATGGGTGTACCATGATTCAGTATAGGGAAGAGGTACAGTAGTTGACAAGTTACTAATTTTATCTGCTCTTGTGAAAACAAAGTACTTTGAGGAATATTTTTTTTTTTAAAAAGAGTACTTTTTATGAAAACTGTATAATTTTAAAGAATATGCTTAAGTGCAAACTGAATGTAATGTTTTTGGACACTTAATTGCATTTTAATTGCAATTAAATTAATATGAATTTATAGTAAATGCAGGTAGTTGAACTTAAGATTGTTGTTTTGAGCCACTTAAGTAGGACTTTAGTACATGTTTATATGTCATTTCAAAAGTACTTCTATATGGCAAGCCGTTTTTATTCATTCTCAGGATATGAATTCTTGATATCAACAATTCAATTTTTACTAGTTAAAATGTTAATTCTTGATATCAGGAATTAGATTTCTACTAGTAACAATTGCTATTTTTGATATCAGGAATTACATTTCAACTAGTAAAAACTATAATTCTTGATATCTGTAATTGTATTTTCACTAGTTAAATGTCACCATAGGCTGCCATTCAAAATCAATTGTTGATATCAAGAATTAATTTCTTACTAGTTGAAATTCCAATTTCACATATCAGAAATACAATTCTTTCTAGTAAAAACTTTTATTTTTGACATCAGTAATCATGTGGTTACTAGTACAGACTAAAACTACTCATATATGTAGTTTATTTTGCAATAATGTCCAAATTATTGTACATTATCCAATCTGGTCTCATGGCAAAAACGTACAAAACGGTGTTGCAGAAAATACCCAGAGGTACGTATTTTTATGAGACTGGGTTGACATTATCACACTTATTACAAGGCTACTTATCAAATAAGTAAATAAATGTGCATGAAATATTAGATTCGAATTTAAACGAGATATGAAACTAGCACATCTATAAATAAAATCAATTGTCTTGGTCAATCGTTATCAGTTGTTAACAGTTGTTATCAGTGTTATTTTAATTTTTTATCATTTCTTTTAGTTTTTTTTTTTATTTCTATATATATTTTATACATTTTGTTTCTGCT